CTGACGGAGGGAAAGATAGTGTACCATGATAACGTGGGTGTATTAGTACTCCTGGCGGAGGGAAGGATAGTGTACCATGATAGTGTAGGCTATCAGCGAGACTTAGTTAACTCTATTCTGATTAGGTAGTTAAGCTTAGGATAGAGAGACAGTGTGTCTGGCAGATAAAAACACACGGAAGGATACTAGAGGTAGTATGAGGGAGGCGCCTGTACACAACAACTCACAATCAGTACATCAATGCTATAACGATACAGTCACGCTGATGTAACTCACAATATAACGGGCAAGGTAACTCACAACGTTAGCCGCAAGGATAGGCAGGAGTGAGAGGAACGACTGGGGTAGAGACGATGATTCAACGGTCGCACCAGTCAGTGAAACCCAGACCATAAACACTGGGTCTTCATATTGTCCTCCCACTCTTCTCTCTCTTCTCAGCTCTCCCTCCCTTTCTCTCTCGTCTTCTCTCCTGCGGGGATCAAGAAAACTGTCAGGATCGTAAAACTAGAGAAACGCAGGTTTACGAATTATGTGGCTCTGAGTGGAGTATGAAATTTAACAGCTCGGCTCTCAAGTCTGGTTTGCTGTAGTTTAGTTGAACATTTTTAACTAATACAGCACGGGGTATTACCCTCAAGTGTTGCTGCTCCGTCTGACAGGTGCGCTACTGCTACACACAGCTTTGCTGTACACAGCTCTGCTACACACTGATCTGCTACACACAGCTTTGCTACACACTGCTCTGCTACACACAGCTCTGCTACACACAGCTTTGCTACACACTAAGGGAAAACACCATAAGTGTCCGGGGCCCAAAACTGTTCAACAGCCTCCCATCAAGCATTAGGGGAATTGCCAATAAGCCCCTGGCTGCCTTCAAGAGAGAGCTGGACAGATACCTAAAGTCAGTGCCGGATCAGCCGGGCTGTGGCTCGTACGTTGGACTGCGTGCGGCCAGCGGTAACAGCCTAGTTGATCAGGCCTTGATCCATCGCGAGGCCTGGTCATGGACCGGGCCGCGGGGGGGTTGATCCCCGGAATAACCTCCAGGTAACCTCCAGGTAACACTGCTCTGCTACACACAGCTCTGCTGTACACAACTCTGTTACACACAGCTCTGCTACACACAGCTCTGCTGTACACAGCTCTGCTACACACAGCTCTGCTACACACAGTTCTGTTACACACAGCCCTGCTACACACTGCTCTGCTACACACAGCTCTGCTACACACAGCTCTGCTACACACTGCTCTGCTATACACAGCTCTGCTACACACAGCTCTGTTACACACAGCTCTGCTACACACTGCTCTGCTACACACAGCTCTGCTACACACAGCTCTGTTACACACAGCTCTGTTACACACAGCTCTGCTACACACTGCTCTGCTACACACAGCTCTGTTACACAGCTCTGTTACACACAGCTCTGCTACACACTGCTCTGCTATACACAGCTCTGCTACACACTACTGTTACACACAGCTCTACTGCACACAGGTTTCACCTCCCTAAGATTCGATTACATTTATGCAGCTGAACCCATTCCCCAGGAGCTGTATGACCCCTACAGATTTAGGCCTTTCCATGAATATAATAATAATAATAATAATAATAATAATAATAATAATAATAATAATAATAATAATAATAATAATAATAATAATAATAATAATAATAAAAAAATAGTTTAAGGGTAACTAAGCATTTTATATGTGACCCAAGGTAGAGTGAGGCTTCCTGACACACACTTCTGGTCTCCTGACCCGTTGTCCAGGGTACAACATTCATATAGACGACCTTCAAGGATACGTAGGTCACCTCTATCATGAAATTAAGGATGGATGACACGTAGAATCATCAGTATGATGGAGGCAAGGATGGATGACACGTAGAATCATCAGTATGATGGATACAAGGATGGAGGACATGTAGAATCATCAGTATGATGAATCATAGTCACACTCCATGAATAATGTGGGATCGAACCGACGACCCAGTAAATATTCCTCACGCACGCTACCATCCGTGTCACGACCATGTTTAAGAACTGGAGCAAGAAGTGTTACTGTTTTACTCACCTAGATGTGTTTCCAGGGGTCCAGCTCCTGGCCCCGCCTTTTAACTATTACTGATTACTGACCTCCAGAATCCCGAACTATTTGTTTAAGAAAATCTAAGGTACACGTGACTCACGAGAGTCGAGTGGTTAAAGCACTCGCCTCTGAGTTTCAGGACTCATTTGCCTTGGGTTCAAGCCTCACCCGTTCCGTGATTTCAAGGGCTATTAATCGTTTCTTGCTACGTGATACCCCTCTGGAAAAACTACATTTTTTATTACCTCGGTGAGGCTTATCTTTGTGAGGGGCCACTAAATCTGGTTAGTCTTTTGATATTCCGTCTTTTATCTCTCCACTTTTATAAGTCATGTCGTCCATACCTGGTTTGTCTCACTGTGATCTTTCTGTCACGTACTGTTTGGTGGTTATTCTGTTCCTGTCACCTCGGGTTTGACCGTCACTGTGAGTGTTCCTTAGAGGAACTTAGTATAAGTTGTGATCATATCTGTTCATCAGTAGCCACTGCTACTTCCACCACTGTAAAGTGCTCCTCTTGCTGAAATAAATGACCTTCTGCCACCACTCACTCCTTTCCTACCTCTGTAATAATTTCTCCTATGTATCCTTGTCTTCCTGTTCTTCTCTCTTGTCTTACTTTCCTTCTCTGCTAAAGACTTGTATCAAACCTTTGTGTTCCTCTTAGGACAGATTTCTCACTACTAAATTTTACACTTCCGTCCCCACAAAATAATATCAGTGGCTGATTGACTGATTACCTCAAACTCCTCATCTTCCACCTTTCTCTGCACTGTACTGAAGAAGCCACTGTGTGGTAAAACATTTCCAGTATAAAGATACCCAAATGTTGCACAAGTGTAGGTTTTCTAACCCATTTATTCACATACTATCAATGGATGTCTTCTGACTTTTACATATGTTCCAATCCTTAAGAAATTAATTTAGTTTATCATATTCCTTGTCCTCGTTTCCCTCAGCATGACCTCGATTGCCCCTTCCTCCTTCCTTTTACAGTTGCATTTTACTTATTGCTTTCGCTCTTCCAGGCGAAAAAAAACAATCAGGTGTTTTTCCCTCTCATTCCCTTCCTCTTGTTATGTAGTTTATCTTTCATTCTGTCTTACATCCAGTACTATAGTCTTTCAATGTTCACTAACCTATCATTAGTTTTAGCTGATTTGCATGTGTCCTAGTTCTTAATACTCCAGTGCATGTGTGTGTGTGTGTGTGTGTGTGGTGTGTGTGTGTGTGTGTGTGTGTGTGTGTGTGTTGTGTGTGTGTGTATGTGTGTGTGTGTGTGTTTTATGTGCGTATGTGCGTGTGTGTGTGTTGTGTGCGTGTGTGTGTGTGTGTGTGTGTGTGTGTGTGTGTGTGTGTGTGTGTGTGTGTGTGTGTGTGTGTGTGTGTATGTGTGTGTGTGTGTGTGTTTATGTGCGTATGTGCGTGTGTGTGTGTGTGTGTTGTGTGTGTGTGTGTGTGTGGTGTGTGTGTGTGTGTGTGTGTGTGTGTGTACTCACCTAATTGTACTCACCTAATTGTGGTTGCAGGGGTCGAAACTCAGCTCCTGGCCCCGCCTCTTCACTGATCGCTACTGGGTCCTCTCTCTGTGCTTCCTGAGCTTTGTCATACCTCTTCTTAAAACTATGTATGGTTCCTGCCTCCACTACTTCACTTGCTAGGCTATTCCACTTCCTGACGACTCTATGACTGAAGAAATACTTCCTAACGTCCCTGTGACTCGTCTGAGTCTTCAGCTTCCAGCTGTGACCCCTTGTCCCTGTGTCCCCTCTCTGGAACACCCTATCTCTGTCCACCTTGTCTATTCCCCGCAGTATCTTGTATGTCGTTATCATGTCTCCCCTGACCCTTCTGTCCTCCAGTGTCGTCAGTCCGATTTCCCTTAACCTTTCCTCGTACGACATTCCCTTGAGCTCTGGGACTAGCCTTGTTGCAAACCTTTGTACTTTCTCTAACCTCTTGACGTGCTTGACCAGGTGTGGGTTCCAGACTGGTGCTGCATACTCCAGTATGGGCCTAACATACACAGTGTACAGTGTCTTGAACGATTCCTTATTAAGGTATCGGAACGCTATTCTCAGGTTTGCCAGGCGCCCGTATGCTGCAGCGGTTATTTGGTTAATGTGTGCCTCCGGTGATGTGCTCGGTGTTATGGTCACCCCAAGGTCTTTCTCCCTAAGTGAGATCTGTAGTCTTTGTCTACCAAGCCTATACTCTGTCTGCGGTCTTCTTTGCCCCTCCCCAATCTTCATGACTTTGCATTTGACTGGATTGAATTCGAGAAGCCAGTTACTGGACCACATGTCCAGCCTGTCCAGGTCTCTTTGCAGTCCTGCCTCATCCTCGTCCGATTTAATTCTTCTCATCAGCTTCACGTCATCTGCGAACAGGGACACTTCAGAGTCTATTCCTTCCATCATGTTGTTCACATATATCAAAAATAGCACTGGTCCTAGTACTGCCCCTGTGGGAACCCCCCCCTCGTAACAGGCGCCCACTGTGCTACCTCCTTCCGTACCATGATTGGAAGGACAAGTTGGGCCTTGACTGTCTGACTCTGGAAGGACAAGTTGGCCCTACGACTTTCTGACTCTAAAGGACAAGTTGGGCCTCGACTGACTTTCACACTTGAGGTACACTTTGGAAGATCTGTGTTCTCAGTGTTCCTATTCTTCCATTTTGATCCAGGGAGCCGAGTTGCTCTCACACCTCCCGGTCAAGAAGACTGTGTGCTTTCTTTTCTTTGAAAGTGGCCGAGGTGAGTGAAAACATTGATTCACAGAACTGTGAAGCCTTCCTGGCATCCCTCTCAAATTCATTATGTGGGTCAATATTTACGTGATCAGGACCCACCCAGTGCCAGCTAAATCGCCACCCACGTGGATATCCTATCCCATACG